GGCATTGGATAAAGGTCAAAGCCTTTTTTCCCCCTCAATTAAAAAATGTAAACTTAAATCAACTTTACCAGGTTATGACGCACATCCAACAAAAGGCATTGCCTGGCTTACCTGGTATAAGGTATGGTGCATAAGAGCCCGATGCTGTTTGCACACGCGATAGGGTAGCGAGCACACAGAGACACGACGGATGTCATGGTCTCTCCAAAGGCTTCCTGGACCTGTTCAACCATGCCGCCGCAGGTGAGTTCTTCGATTCTACAGAACAGAAAACCAAAACGCGGGCTTCCTGAGCCACGTCAAGAACAGCGGGGGCAACCAAGAGGACCACAGAGTTCTTTTCAGAACCCTAGGAGTGTCTAGATGCGTCCAGGACTGGGGAATCCGGGAGATCGCCCAGCAGAGGATTTCTCCACTGTTGGGCAGGATTTCTAGGTGAGCCTCAGAGACAATACAGCCCACACTCGAGCAGAGCCGAGGGACTCCAGATTAGGCAGTGAAAGCCATTTCTTTCCGCAGGGCTTTCCAGGCTCCAGTAAGGCCCGAGTCCCTGGCCAGCAACTCCAAGACCTGAAGAGCGGCACCAACGTGACCCTGGCGACCCTTTACCTGAGACCAACCACTAGGCTAAGTCAAGCACTGCTCCGGGGCTCGGGTTCACACAGGCACACCTTTGCCCACATACAACGTGCTGGGGCCTGTGATCAGTGGCTGGCTGCAGACACGTGCTCCGTCATACACCTGTCCTAGTCAATCAAAAGAGCGGCTTCTGAGGGGAATCTGTTGGGCCAGTTAAATTCATCCAGGCACAAAGGTTAGCTCAAAGGCTATGGCAGCTGCTTTTGGGGGGGTCCCAAAGAGGTCATCTTGATAGAGTTTCTCAGGACAACCACAGGGCCTCACTGGCAAGAAGGCTTTAAAAACAAACAAGCCGTGAAAACTTGGCTGGTGAGAAAAAGGGCAGGGAAGTTGCGCGGAGGGCTCTTGCTCAGTGACAACAGTGCACCTGCGCATTCGAGGGCAGCAAGGGCTTTTCTAGGAGGACGTCATCGAGAGACCTCACCCCATCCACCCTACAGCTCTGACCTTGCCCCTTCAGGCTTCTCTCTTCCTGTTCCCCAAACTCAAAAATCACCATTTCAAAGAAACACGATCTGAGTCCCTGGAGGATGCTGTTTGGGTAAGATATCAATCCAAGCAAGCAGAACTCCCGGGGAAAGGGCTGGAGAGATGGAAACACCACCCTCAGAAGGACAGAGCCCTCAAATGGGCAGGGGCACACTGAGAAACAACAGTGTCATATCATATGTCTGTGTATCTGTTTCATAAGGGCATCTGTGCAGAGTTTATAGCAATACTTTTTGACTTAGCCCCATGTGCTATTGCACGCAGCGGGGACTATAGCCAATGTAATTTTTACTACTGAGAAAAGCCAAGGCCCAAATAGATTAGCTAAGGGTCTTTTGCAAATTCACATGCCTATTGTTAGCAGAGTGT